TACTATCCCTTTACTTTTAGTCTGTCTGTATGTGCCCCTTTCAAAAAGTGAGTCTTGTAGACAGCATATGTATGAGTCTTGTTTTCTTATCCACTCAGCTACCTTATGTCTTTTTGACTGAAGCATTTAATTCATTTACTTTTAAAGTGATTATTGATAGATACATATTTATTATTATTTTATTATTCATATTTATGTTCCTTTTTTTTTTCTTCTTTTAAAGAAGTCCCCTTAACGTTTCTTGTCATATTGGTTTACAAGTATGATGAATGTCTTTAGCTTTATTTGTCTAGAAATTTTTTATTTCTCCTTCAACTTTGGAGGGTAGAGTAGTCTTAGCTGTAGGTCCTTCTTTTTCATTATTTTGAATATTTTGTGCCAATCCCACTGGCCTGAAATGTTTCTGTTGAGAAATCAGTTGACAGTCTTATGGGAGCTCTCTTTTCAATAACTAACTCTCTCTTGCTGCTTTTAAGAGTCTCTCTATATCTTTTACTTTTGTTAGTTTAATTATGATTTATCTAAGTGTGAGTCTTTTGGGGTTCATCTTGTTTGGAACTCTCTACATTTCCTGGACTTACTTGTCTTTTTTCTTCACCAGATTAGAACATTACCAGTGATTATTTCTTCAAATGGATTCTCAATCTCTCTCTCTTTCTTCTCTTTCTGATATCCCTATAATGTGGATGTTGTTACACTTCATGTTATCCCAGAGGTTCCTTAAACTATCCTCGTCTTTTAATTCCTTTTCCCTTTTGCTGATTCGAGTGGGTGTTTTTGGCTACTGTGTCTTGCAAATTGCTGATTCGATTCTTTGCTTCATCTAATCTGCTATAGATTTCTTCTAGAGTTTTCTTCATTTAAATACTGTATTCTTCATTTCTGACTCATTCTTTTTTGTTGTTGTTGTTGTTTGTTTCTATGTCCTTTTCTTTTAAATCCTCAACAGAGGATATGTGTTTATTGCTGTGGATTTTTGGGGTTGTTTGTTTGTTTGTTTGTTTTTGTTTTGTTTTTGAGACAGAGAATGAGAGAGGGAGAGAGAGAGAGAGAGAGAGAGAGAGAGAGAGAGAGAGAGAGAGAGAGAGAAACATCAATGTAAGAGAGATACATTTATCAGTTGCCTCCCATATGCACCCCAACCTGGGATCAAAGCCATAACTTGGGTATGTGCCCTGACCAGGAATCAAACCCATGACCTTTAGGTGTATAGGACAACACTCCAACCAACTGAGCCACACCAGCCAGAGCTCTATGTTCTTTTTTTATACTTACTGTCTCTTTGTTGAAGTTCTTACTGAATTCATCCATTCTTCCCTTAAGTTCCATGAGAATCCTTATAAGCATTGCTTTGAACTCTATATTTGGTAGATTGCTTGCCTCCATTTTATTTAGTTCTTTTGCTTGGGCTTTTCTCTGTTCTTTCTTTGGGGCATGTTTCTTTGTCTTCCCGTTTTGGATGCCTCTCTGTATTTGTTTCAGTATATTAGGTTGATCTGCTAAGTCTCCCAGTCCTGGTAGTGTGGACTTTATGTAATTGGTATTCTGTGGGGCTCAGTGGTACTCTTTCTGATCAGCTGAATTAGGTACACCATGAGTGTCCCTTGTGTGCGTTTTGTGAGCCCTCTTCTTGTAGTTGAGTCTTGATTGCTGTTGGCCCATCCATGGGTAGGATTGATTCTCAGGCTAACTGACGGTCAGATTGACCCCAACCACAGTTTACCAGCTGCTGTACAGGGGCTGACCCTACAAAGCAGAATTTGCCCTAGCAGTGTTTGGTGCCTGCCAAGGTCTCCCTTTTGGTGTGTCATTTGTAGAGCTAACTGGGTTGTACTATGATGTGATCTGAAGTCCTGGGTATGTGTTGTTTCTGGGCCTCTTGGGAGGAATTCTGGTGCAGGTTAATGCCAGATGCTTCCTGTGACTTGCCCTGGGCTACCTGTTAGGGGCTACAAAGCAATCCATGGTTGGTGGCTGTCTCTGCTGGGCTCAGGAACTCATGGGAGGGATGGTCCTAACTGCATACTAAGGCCAGCTCCCATCAGCACTGAGCCTGGGGCAGGTCAGTAAAGGCCTAAGGTACCTTAAGATTTGCCTCCACCTACCAGCTTTCTGTTAGGCTTAGGCACTGAGAGAACCTCTGGCAGTATATAAGTTGTGTGAGGCAGGTTCTAAGGGAGTCAACAGGCAGAATTGAGTGCCCAAGACCCTTCAGTGCATGGGCCAACACTCTAACCACTGAGCAACACCAGCCAGGGCTATCATATCAACCTTTTTAAAATATATATATGTAAATTAGAGATCTGTGTAGATGTATCAGGGTTCAGTTACAAAGAACTGAATTGCTTCAACTAATTTAAGTAAGAAATGTTGTATTGAATGGCTTACAACATTACTGAGTTAAATTAACACACTCTAGGGCAGTGATGGCGAACCTTTTGAGCTCGGCGTGTCAGCATTTTGAAAAACCCTAACTTAACTCTGGTGCCGTGTCACATATAGAAATTTTTTGATATTTGCAACCATAGTAAAACAAAGATTTATATTTTTGATATTTATTTTATATATTTAAATGCCATTTAACAAAGAAAAATCAACCAAAAAAATGAGTTCGCGTGTCACCTCTGACACGCATGTCATAGGTTTGCCATCACTGCTCTAGGGTGATCTTTCAAGAATGACTATTAAAGTCACACTATAGGATCAAGCCATAGAGGAAGACACTGATATCTTCTGAAAGCAGAAAGCCACCAGCCCCAGAAACTCAGGCCACTGCCACGGTTTGGAAGCCACCATGGTCAGGATGGCACCACACTCAGGAAGCTACTGTAACCTGGAGACCTCCGCTATGTTTGTCAGCTCCAGAATCTCACCAGGCTCGCTGCAATTTGCACCAACAAAATAGATGTCTTGTGCCCTGCTTCTTGGCTCCCATAAGCTAATGGTTAGACAGCAAGTCATTCGTTAGTGCTGTCCCATCAGCGGGAAAGAGGAAAAATAATGACCCCATTACTATGCTTGCCTGCAGAAAAGCAGAAGCCGTGGACGTTTAGCCTCCATGTCTCTTCTACATTCAGATCTCAGGCATGTGCATCTGACTGGCTGAACCTAAAACATGATGAGATTTCTAACTGCAAGGGACTCTTAGAAAAATGTTTTTGTTTCTTCATCTTCTTTAGTCCAAGAAGACACACTAGCATCAAGGTAAAATGGATGTTGAACATGAACATACCATATCCCTTTGGTTATTCAATATCCATGCACATGATTTTTCCCAATTCAACAACTCCCCTAGAGCCTTGGTCGGCAAACCGTGGCTCGCGAGCCACATGTGGCTCTTTGGCCCCTTCAGTGTGGCTCTTCCACAAAATACCACCTGCGGGCGCGCACATACAGTGCGATTGAAACTTCGTGGCCCATGCGCAGAAGTCGGTATTTTGTGGAAGAGCCGGTATTTTGTGGAAGAGCCACACTGAAGGGGCCAACGAGCCGCATGTGGCTCGCGAGCCGCGGTTTGCCGAGCCGCAGTTTGCCGACCACTGCCCTAGAGCAACAATGAGCAGTGATGATGTTCCATACTGACATAGTGCAAATATCTCATACAAGTGAAAATGTATTCACCACCTCCCTGGAAAGGAAAGCCAGAGAAATTTCCACCAGTCAATCTGTCCATCTCAGGGTGAAGGTTTATTCCTCCTCGAATGAAGTACATTAGAACGTTACCTAACCACAGCTCCCTATATAAAAATATTAGAAGAAAGGAAGGGGCCTGAGTTATTTAATACTTATATACAAAATTGAGTACAAAGAAGAAAGTATGGCTATTATAGTCTTCATTTCCTAAAACTGCGGTTACAATTTATAACATCCTTCCTTCTCTACCCATTTCTACTCCCTTTGCCTTCAGTCAGCATCAAGGCTGGTAGAAGCCTTTAATAGAGTGTGGTGATGCAATACTATTTTTTTCTGAGAGGTAAGATCTTATAATGACTTCCTATAGCCACAACTGGAAATAGCAGTCCTAGGTATGTTCCAGAAAAGTTCAAGTTTCAGCCAAACTACTCACTGCCCACAGTGTGTACAGCAGCAACCTTAGCTGGAAGAGAATCTGAAAAATGTGGTGTGTGGCTTTCTAGCCTGTACAGTAGACCAAGCACTTGAAGGAGGATGACATGGGTGCAGTGTCCACTTCTTTTACCACAGTAACTAATTGGGGAAAGGTAATAACTTTCCCATTACCTTTACCACAATAAATACATATGCGGGGCGGGGGGCGGGAGGGGGAGAATTGTTCCCCTGTGCACTTATGCATAGTTAAAGTTTAGTGCCTGAAAAAGTTAAGCTTTAGGTACACAGAGGCAATTACTGAATCTCACGGAGAGACCAAGTTTGGTACGGGATGAGCCCCATGAGTTCATAACCAGAACAGATCATCTCAGTGCACAAAATGTGCTTTGACACACAGCTCTTCCCCTCTCCCTCCTTCGCATAATCTAACAATACGCATTCTCGACATTTAGACCACTCCACGTTATCATGAGTTTCTGTCACCTCTTCTCTATTAAACCCATACAGCTTGTGTGATTCACCTTTACTCCAGGCCCAGGAGGAAATATTCTTCATTCTTCTTTCTCAAATAATTCATTCAAAGCACCAGGGCTTTGAAGGATAAATGGTTCTGATGACCTAGGAGAGAAGAGCACTTCCGTTTCTTTCAGTGATTCTTCCTTAATGTTCCTCGTGCTACCAGGCTACACGGTAGCACCTCTCCTTGTTTTGCTGAGTACTGCTCAGCACAGATGCAAAAGGACAATGCACACAGATGCAGATTGGGCCCTGACTAAGACTGTGATTTTAGCCTCACTAGTAGGACCTGTTAATTGAATGTTACAGGAGTAATTTCCTACAGATGAGTGTGCGAAACATTTTTGAAAGTTCAAATAATCACCAGCAGAGGGGAAACCTTAAAATTAATCTGTCATGTGATAATATGTTGACAGGTTAGTTATCGGAAAGACGAGGAACAAGAAGATGCAGCAGAAACAGTCAAAACGAAGGGGAACGAGTCATCTGTCACCCTGACAGGACTGGAAGGAAACACATTATATCACTTCACAGTGAGGGCCTATAATGGAGCTGGATATGGGCCACCGAGCGGTGAAGTGAGCGCAACCACCAAGAAATCCCGTAAGTGACCGGCGCTTTTCGTTCGTTTCAGACTAAAAGGAAACATCTTTTAGCATTTCTGAAAGCCACATGAGGTACATAATAAGCAGAGTTGACGGAGAGTTTAGATACATAGTCTTGTTCATTGCTTAGATCTGACTTCCAAAAATAGCTCAGCAATTTCTGCATTCACAGTGGATAAAGGTTATTTTCCTGTGAAACAAGGCTAAGCGATTTTGACACGAAAGGGAGATAAAAGGACTCAGGTTCAAAAGCTCAGTAGAGTATTAAAATGACAATTCTGGAGCAAAACTCTCCTTTCTGACTCTAGCTGGAAGGAACCTTTGGTGCCAGCCAACTATGAAGCACGCGAAAAGACTGAAATGCAAGGATTTTAAGTGAGGAAATGTATGTAAGACCCCTTGTCAGTTCTTTCACTTCTTATCTTGCAGCCCCTAGTCAAGCACCTGCCAACCTCAGGTGGGAGCAGCAAGGCTCTGAGCTTTCTCTGGGCTGGGAACCTGTCAGACCATTAGCCAACGAATCTGAAGTCATGGGCTACAAGGTCAGTGTTTCTTCACTCCCTGGGGTAGACACTGGTCTCGAACACTGTTATTGTGAGGATGTATAATTAATAAGCCATAAAAAGACCCATCACAGCCCTAGCCGGTTTGGCTCAGTGGATAGAGTGTCGGACTGCGGACTGAAGGTCCCGGGTTCGATTCTGGTTAAAGGCACATGCCCTGGTTGCAGGCTCAATCCCCAGTAGGGAGGAGGGTGCAGGAGGCAGCCAATCAATGATTCTTTCTCATCATTGTTGTTTCTATCTCTCTTCCCCTTTCCATTCATCTCTGAAATCAATAAAAATATTTTTTTTAAAAAAGACCATCACATACCAGTTTTTTTCTCAGTCATTTTCCACCTCTATTCCTAGAATGAATTTCCTGCAGTAAGGAAGCCACGGCAGTCAGAATTCATCCCCACTGCACCAGGCATGGGAAAGGAATGGGTAGGAAAAGCAACAAAAGTTTGAGTAGAGGGTCCCAGGAAGCACAGTGTCAGAACCCGCAGAATGTATCCTGGCGTTCTCTCTCCACAGACAAACTGTGCTGGTGGATGGAAAATACTAGATGACTATTTGATAGAAAGACTTTCTATTAGCAAAGCAACAGAGGAAGAAAAAATGCTAGGCCAGCACACAGCGTTGGAAGGAGCTCATGGAGAGAGACAGAAAGCTCCAAAGTAGACGTAACATTTCACATACGGCCATGCTGCTTCGTGTCAGCAAGAGATCTGGAAATATGAAAACATTTAGATAGTTCGTTCTTGAAAAACAGCTTTGTCTCTGACTTTAAAATAGATGTGGCCTATGTATTGAATTGGCTGAGCTTCAAATTTTAGTCCATACGTCAGATTCGGTTTATTGTCTTAAACTCCAGACAGAATCATTAGTTGAATATTATTTATAGCAGAATTTAAAAATATTTCAGTGGTAATATGTAGACTGAACAGCTTCATTTAGGTGGCTTTTCAGCTACCAGAGATGGTAACATTTTGTATACAAAGTGATAAAATTCTAAAGCTAAAAAACGAGAAGTTATAAATTGAATATATTTTTAAGATAATATCCATTAAGAATATTTTAAGATGCAAACTGCAGTATTTCTTACAAACTATAATTGGTATGGATCACAGACACCCCCACATTCAAACGTACACGCTCCAATCTGTCATAATCCCCAAGGATATTGAATTTGACCTTTTGGGGGTGGACAGGTGAGCCATTTTCTGAACCCTTTTCTCAGTCCCCTTTTGTACATACCCTTCCCCCTGTCCTCACTACTTGTCCTCTAATGCAAATATAGCCTTCAGTGATTAGGAGTAGAAGTACAATGAGAGTGATAGACCAAGAACCAATATAAAACCTCATTAGCATATGGCAAGCAATCTCCCAAACAGGAGTGGCAAATAGAACACAAGGAAAAGCTAGGTGAAAGCAATGGCTTCAGGCACCTCTCAGGTGAGAGGAGAAGCACCATTTAACCTGGAGAATACGTGAGGTTGAACATCAGTGTCCCAGGTGAGGTGACCCTACACTTTGTTCACAGTTGCCATTTCTGTCTCTGTCATTGCTCTTCCTTTTTTTAATTTTAATTTTATTTTTTGTCAATCCTCACCCGAGGATATTTTTCCATTGATTTTTAGGGAGAGTGGAATCTAGAGGGAAAGACAGAAACATTGATGTGAGAGAAACACATCGATTGGTTTTCTCCTACACCAGCGGTTCTCAACCTGTGGGTCGCGACCCCTTTGGGTGTCGAACGACCCTTTCACAGGTCGCCTAAGACCATCGGAAAACACATATATAATTACATATTGTTTTGTGATTAATCGCTATGCTTTAATTATGTTCAATTTGTAACAATGAAATTGGGGGTCACCACAACATGAGGAACTGTCTTAAAGAGTCGCGGCATTAGGAAGGTTGAGAACCACTGTTCTACACGAACCCTGACCAAGGTCCAGGCCAAGGAGGAGCCTGCAACCAAGATACGTGCCCTTGACCGGAATCAAACCCAGGACCCTCTGGTCTGTTGGCTGACTATCTACTGAGCCAAACCAGCTAGAGCTGCTCTTCCTTTTTATATGTGACTATCTCCCCACCAGGCTATATATGATTGAAGGGAAGGACCCTGTCTCACTCGTCTCTTTATCCCCAGGGCTTCTAGAATGGATGAATAAACTAATTAACTCTGACCCAGCTAGAGGTATCCATCAATATAGACAGATGTTTTTGTTTGTTTATTCAACTCAGACATCAGTTAGGGCCTTCCAGACTCCTGAGATACCTGTCCACTTGGATTGATACTGTAGGCCGTACCCTGTGGAATTTTGAAGCCCACTAGTATATTTCTCCAGCTTCTCAGGGAGTGTAAAGTCTATGGCTATTCTAGTCTCATTGATTTCCTGTATCTTAGAGCTTTCCTTCAGCTTATACTCATTCCAAATACGAATGCAGCCTCTTTCCTGTGATTCCCATAAGTTAGAAAGACTCAGGTATAATGGCTTATACTATCCCCTCTACATTTGAGTATGCTTGAATTTTTCATCATAAAATAATTTTAAGACAGAAGTAGCTTACATAATGTTACATATACATCAGACTTCGTGGAAATTTGGTAGGGGGAGATTGTAGAGTGAAAGACACACAACACAGATACACATCTGAATATTGCCCTTCAGAAAGTTTTGTTCTTTTTTATTTTTTATTTTATTAACTACAGTCACTCTGCTGTACATTATTTCTCCAGGACTTATTCAAGATCCTGTGCTTTTTTTCTTAAATGTAGCTGGTATACAATATTATATGTGTTTCAGGTGTACAATACAATGATTTGACATTTATATACTTTATCACCACACCAAGTCTAGTAATCACCTGTTACCATGCAAATTTATCACAACATTATTGACTATATTCACTTTCACCTTTTTCATCAGTCCCCACTCCCTTCCTCTCCAGCCACCATTCGTTTGACCTCTGTGTCTATGAGTCCCATTGTGTTTTGCTTATTGATTTTTCTTTTTTTAGATTCCACTTATAAGTGAAACTATATGGTATTTGTCTTTCTCTGCCTGACTTATCTCACTTAATATAATACCCTCTAGGTCCATCCATGTTGTTGCAAATTACAAGATTGATGTAGCCTCTATGGAAAACAATATGGAAATTTCTCAAAAACCTAAAAATAGGTCTACCATGACCCAGCAATTCCACTTTGGGGTATTTATCTAAAGAAAATGAAAACATTTAATTTGAAAAGAGAAATGCACCCCTATGTCCATTGCAGGAAAATTTACAGTAGCCAAGATATAGATGCAACCTTGGTGTCCTTCAGTCTATGAATGGACAAACAAGATCCTGTTCTTAATAGTGCTTTTCAGCCACCCTACAGCCAGTGGCTTCTCACTGGTACTTGTGGTTCCAACTTCTTTTTATCCAGATTCTATTCATCTTACTGATTCCTTATTGTCCACCCATTGCCACTGGGGATTCTGAATCCTCACTCTCTATAATGAAGAGCAATTGTCTCCATTAACTATTCCCAAAATGCTCAGCTGGTGCATAGGCCTTTAATAGGATCTATCCTTTTCAGGGGCACTTGTGGGTAGAACCAGCAAAAATGTATTCTGTTATATTGTTAAGCATACTCACCCTATTATTCTGTTACCATCAGATATACACACTAGCTGTTTCCAAATTGTGCCTTTGAGAATAGCATTTCTGTATTAATTTTTTTGCTTAAAAAACTCTCTATGGATGGTACACTGGCTCTCAGTTTTTTAGATAACAAATGAGAATAGTCTTGACAATACATTAGACAATTTCCTTTGTGCCTAAAGATAGCTGTCATCGCAACTGCCAATTTATACACTTCCAGATTTTTAAGTACTCTCTGAACTCTTTACTGTCAATAACTATTTCAGACATGTCTTGATAACTCCTTAACCTTCTCATATTTCTCATTCTTATTCATCTTTTCTAAATTGGGATTTTAAAATGAGCCAAGATTCTCTAAAGCACCTAAGACTGACAATGAATTTAATGTCTCTTTTCACTTAGTATACCTACTTACCAACTCACAGCAGTACATCTCCCTGGATGTATTGATAAAAACCACATTTAATCTCAAACTCCCTTTGTTACCATCAATTGATATTTTTCTGCTTTCACCTTTTGTTCCTAATCTCAACTGATCCACAAATTTGTCTTCAACTCTGGATTTTACAGCAACATTAGATATGCATTACTGGTTGCATTTTTCTTTGTCATAAGAATTGTAATTTATCCACCATAATAACAGTGTCCTCTAATATAGTCACTCCCCTGCCAACCCTCACCAATTTACATACATTCCCATTGCCATGTATTTGCTTTCTAATTACCTCATGTGGATGATCAGAATTCTAATTCATTACACTGTTACAGTCAAAATGAGAAGCGTACATTCTGATGCAACTGTCATTTTTTTAAGCCAAAAGAAACTGCCATAGGCATCATCTAAGAAGTGTTTCTGATTCCCCAAATCTTGACTAAATACCCACTCCATGACTTGCTTTACCATCAAATATGTTTCCTATTGCAGTACATAATACACTTCATTCATCGTTACCTATGTCCACCATGCATTAGACCATAAGTGCCATAAGGGCTGAAACCATATTGTCTTGTTCTCTGGCGAATCTCCAGTGTATAACACTATGCCTGGCCCACATGAGAAACATTCAATAATGCTCTTATCACTTTGTAACTACATCAAGGCTACGGCTTCCTTCCTTATATGAAGTTCAGTAGTTACAATTATTGCACATGTTATATACATGTATACAGAAGTTTTTTTTTCTTGTCTGTAGGTTAGTTCGAGTTAAAATCACATTTTTATAAGAAAACAGTATTATAGATTTTTGTCTAGGTTCCCAAGTCAGTTCATATTTTGTGATGCAAATGTGAATTCTGGCCATTGACAAAGAACAATGAAGCAAAAGTAGCTTTATCTTATTACATTTCCCATGCACCAGGTCCTGTGCTAGATATTTCATATGCACCCTCTCATTTTATTCTCCTAACAAAACCATAAAATAAATGTTATTATCTCTACAGTAGAGGTACTTGAGGTTTAGAAAGACTGGCAACTTGCCCACATTTGCACAAACAGGAATGCATAGGAGATTGTTTTTCTTTTGAAGGATATTTGTTTTGATTCCAGATCTGTATGATTTGCAAAGCTATTGATCTTTCCATTATGCAAAGTAATCATATTATAATACCAACAATTATGAAAAAGCACAGAAATAATGAAAATGGATAAAAATGCATTTTAACATATCTTCACTGCTGCTACTTGATTATTAGACACACACACAAAAAGGTTTATTGGGGGTAAATAAGTAGGAACAATATGATATAGTGAAAGTGCTCTGAGCTGATCATGAGAATGCTCAACTAATATAATTTCTAACATAACTAGTCACATGAGCTTGTATAAATCGCATAATCTCTATGACCTTAATATTTTGATATGTAAACAGTATAATTCTGTATCCTAATTTGTTGTTATGAAACTCTGCCATGAATACATATTCAATTCTAGTGCCATAGATAATGTCTGAAAAAGGCTTAACTTCGCTACCCAATGTATCCAAATGCCAGTTCACCAAAAAACAAGCAAACCACCAAAGTAAAATTAATAAATTTTTAAACTTCTCAGCCATTTCCTACATTAAGGGTTTACTATTGATATATTTATCAAATTTTATTTTTACTTCTTCCAAATGATTAAAGGTTGACAGCTTTGACTACTGCCGGGGTACTGTTTCTTTCAATGACCAAGAATGAAAGACGCCCAGTGATCTGCCCCCTCGCTACATACTTCTCTGGCCTCATTTCTCATGAGTCTTCCCATATGTCTTGTCTCTATTCCATACCCCAATAATATGGTTTCTTGGTGCTTAGATGTATGTTTTAATCTTCTCTTACCTTTTCCTAGAATTATTCTCCTCCCCTGGAACAACTGGTGAGCTTGACTCATCTTTAAATGTTTAGCTCAGGCATCACCTCCTCTGAAAAGCCTTCCCTAACTTCCAGACAGAATTAAATTCTACTGTGCTTTCGACCAGCACATTGTATATACTCCCAGTTGAGTCACATAGCACATATGTCACATTGTCTATGTATGTATTTAAGCTATAAGCTCCTTGTACTTAGCACAGAGTGTGACATACAGTAGACAATTAACATGTGAAATGAAAACATAAATATCATTATGTTTGAAACCCTGTTATCATTCCTAGGTTTTTTATAGGCAAGAGGGCCACAGCAACAGTCAAGTTATTGAAACACAGAAACCTCAAGCAGTAGTACCTCTCCCCGATGCTGGAGTCTATATCATTGAAGTTCGAGCATCTAGTGAAGGAGGGGATGGAACGGCTAGTTCCCAAATCAGGGTACCATCATATTCAGGTAAGTTTTGACATAATAGGCTTAATTTGATGACCACTCAAAACATCAAGATGGTGTAAACCTCATGAAAATTAATATGATGGATTGCATGGTCCAGAGATTTTGAAGGGTTTCTTTTCTCACTCTGATTGCCATGTCATACTCTGATTAATGCAAATCATTGTAGTCTGCCCCAAATCGCAGAATTTCTGTAAATTCAAAAAAGGACATGACAGTTTCATTTAAATGTCTTCATTAGTGAAACTCCCTTGCCTTTCCTGATTTCAAGCAGTACCTTGTCATTTGGGTTTTGAAATACTGCTTTTAAACTGGTACAGCTCTAGTTTGACATACCTATTTCTCTATTGTCTTGACTTACTTTATCATTACAAAATGGAGCATGAGGGATAGGGAATTTCAAAGGGAATGCTTTTTAAAATTTTGATCATGTTTATTGACTTCAACATAAATTATAAATGTTATTGAGCATAAATTTTGGGGGGGGTTTTCTAGTTTTAACGAATAACATTGTGTAAACTTAAGGTGTGCAATGTATTGATTTGATACTTATATTTTGCAAAATGATTACCACCATAGCATTAGTTAACACCTCCATCAAATCATATAACTGCCATTTCCTTTTTGTGGTGAGAATATTTAAAATCTACTCTCTTAGAAACTTTTAAGTATATATCATAGTATTATTAACTAAAATCACCATGCTGTACATTAGATCCCCATAAATTATTCATTGTAGTTGTTAGCAATATTAATAATTTCTAGCTTTTACTGAGTCCTTATTATATGTCAGATATGGTGATAAGTGAGTTATATACATGATCTTATTTAATCTTAGTAACAATCATATGAGGTAGATGGCATTACATATTCATATTTTACAGATGAAATTTAAGTAACTTGCCTAAGATCACACTATTACTAAGTAGAAGAACCAGGATTCAAACCCAGGTATGGTTGTCTCCAAGGCCACATATCTTCACCACTACCATCATTATTATACCAGCAAGGGAAAACTGGTTAAAGGAAGGAAGGATTGCACAAATTTGGACAAAAGTAACCCTTTCACTGATGTAGTCAAAATAGGAAGAAAATATTTAATTAAATATGCAAATGTCCAAATAAGAAAGTATTAAACAATTTTCAGTAAAGCCTTGTATAAAAAATGTTTAATGGCCCTAGCTGGTTTGGCTCAGTGGATAGAGCATTGGCCTGTGAACTGAAGGGTCCTGGGTTTGATTCCAGTCAGGGGCACATGCCTGGGTTATGGGCTCGATCCCAAGTGGGGGGCGTGCAGGAGGCAGCCAATCAATGATTCTCTCTCATCATTGATGTTTCTATCTCTCCCTCTTCCTTCCTCTCTCTGAAATCAATAAAAATACATAAAAATGTTTAATGTACATTTAATTAATGTATAATTATAAGCATTATTTATTGAGCAATCATTTCCAAGCAGAACTGTCAACCTAGAGAGAAGAATCAAGTGATAGCCTGTAGGACTCTGCTTGTGGCTCTATTACATTCCAAATATTTATTTACTAGAGGCCTGGTGCACAAAAATGTGTGCACTCGGGGGAGTCCCTCAGCCCTGCCTGTGCCCTCTCATAGTCTGGGACCCCTCGGGGGATGTCCACCTCCTGGCTTAGGCCCGCTCCTCAGGGAATTGGACCTAAGTTGCAGTCAGACATCCCTCTGGCAGCCCGGGAACCCTCGAGGCATGTCCACTTGCCAGCGGGAAGCAGGCCTAAGCTGCAGTTGGACATCCTTAGTGCTGCTGAGGAGGTGGGAGAGGCTCCCTCCACTACTGCTGTGCTGGCAGCCATCAGCCTGGCTTGTGGCTGAGCAGAGCTCCCCATGTGGGAGTGCACTGACCACCAGGGGGCAGTTCCTGCATTGAGTGTCTGCCCCCTGGTTATATTGTTTGTTTTATTTGACTTTTTCTTTTTATTTCCTTCTGGTGTTTGGGTTTATTTGCATAAATATAGTTCTTTTTATATTTTTTAATATCCTTGTTTTTTTTCTTTTTTCACAACACCCCTTCGCCCTCGAATGCGGTAACGATTGGGGCGCGTGGCCCTGGTGGGTGTTTTAGTTTGATTAAGGCTGTTGTGGGGCGTGTTGCCCTTTTTTTTGTTTAGTACCAAAGTGATATAAAAAAAGAAAAAAATTTTTTATTTTTTTTGATAAAA